CAAGCTTGGCAACACAGCAGGCACATTGACTTCTAACAAGATAACACACAACTAACTAGCTACATAAGATACTTGTATATCATGTTAGCGTATACTATCTTCTTTTCATATTGCCTGCAAACATTGAAGTTCGTGTGGTATCTACAGATAGACCAAGGTTATTTCTGGTTGTTTTTCTTCCCACACAAAACAAGCTGATCAATGTCAAATGTTTTCTACTTTCCTGTTTTCTCTAATGTGTTGTATAAACAAGAATCGACAATATCATTCCTCATTTACCTGTGCCATTACAGGGGCAGTCTAACTTGAACTCGGCAACCATTTCGATTTTAATGAATGACCTGCTAAAATTAAAATATCTTCTTAAATATTGGCGAGCCTGTGCGGGATACATAAAAGTTCACTAACGAATTATGTTTGTGTGTTTTTTTCTTTCTAAATCTGTTCAAACTTGTAAAATTATTAAAACGTTTTAAAAAAATTTAACAATATACAACTGAAGATATAAAATAGTAGTTGGTGTCAGAAAGATAATTTTTCTTTCTGTAGCTACAACAACAAGTAAGTGTGATTATTTAATAAATAATTAATAATGCCAGTTGTTTAAATGTTGAAGGAGTACAATTGTGCTTCTATGGTAGAGCAATAAATGAGGAATGTTGTGTTCACCACACATAAGACATATCATCGCCCCTGGTTAAAAACAGAACGTAAGTCTCGGCAAAAGCTAATTTCATAAGCACATATTAAATGCACAAAGAAGCAGTCAGAAGTGCCAAGGCACTATCATTTATATGGCAACAGTCAGGAGTGCCAAGGCACCATCAGTCCTATGGCAACAGTCAGGAGTGCTAAGGCACCATCAGTCCTATGGCAACAGTCAGGAGTGCTAAGGCACCATCAGTCCTATGGCAACAGTCAGGAGTGCTAAGGCACCATCAGTCCTATGGCAACAGTCAGGAGTGCTAAGGCACCATCAGTTCTATGGCAACAGTCAGGAGTGCTAAGGCACCATAAGTTCTTTGGCAACAGTCAGGAGTGCTAAGGCACCATAAGTTCTTTGGCAACAGTCAGGAGTGCCAAGGCACCAACAGTCCTATGGCAACAGTCAGAAGTGCCAAGGCACCATCAGTTCTATGGCAAAAGTCAGGAGTGCCAAGGCACCAACAGTCCTATGGCAACAGTCAGAAGTGCAAGTTACCATTATTTCTATGGCAACAGTCAGGAGTGCTAAGGCACCATCAGTTCTATGGCAACAGTCAGGAGTGCTAAGGCACCATAATTTCTATGGCAACAGTCAGGAGTGCTAAAGCACCATCAGTTCTATGGCAGCAGGCTGCTCATCTTTTTCCGAGTCAACAGTTCGCAACACAGTTCGGCATAGTCGGGAGGCACTTCAAATACAATTCGTAGCCCACAATTTCATGTCATGCACTCAACACAGCAGCTTGCCTACAAAACTCTGCACTTATTAATGTCCATATATGGGGAGAATACAACGGATAACAATAGCCCCAAGCAAATAACTTGCAAGGTAACAGTCGGGTGTCTATCTGCTATATTAGACCGACAGCATATTTCAGTTGCATTATTTTACACATTTTTTGGTGTAAACCGTTTATGATTTCAATTATTGTGAATTATTTGTTCGGTTAATGAATCCTGATTTCTGATTATTTACAGCTACAACAGCAGCAACAACAGCAACAACAACAGCAGCAACAACAGCAACAACAGCAACAACAACAACTCGTGAGTCAAACTTTACATTGTCCAGTTACTGGTTTATATGTTTACAATATCTTGTTATTAACAACGAACTTCGTGATTTTCTTCTGGAGAAGAGAAGAGAAGATAAAATGTTGAAATCAGTCATAAAAACCTCTCAGGAAAAAATATTGAATGTCTTCTATATTTGTCAAGCCTTGCTTGAACTAACAAAGAGAACCTAGCTGAAATGTCAGTGTAAATAAAAAGAATAACATAACATAAGATATTCTTGATATAGTCACCGCTTACCCACAAATTGTCTTGAAAAGTGGCCCGTGTGGATTGCAAAAATCACTGCTTACCCTCAGATTGTCTTGAAAAGTGGCCCGTGTGGATTTCAAAAATCACTGCTTACCCACAGATTGTCTTGAAAAGTGGCACGTGTGGATTGCAAAAATCACTGCTTACCCACAGATTGTCTTGAAAAGTGGCCCGTGTGGATTGCAAAAATCACTGCTTACCCACAGATTGTCTTGAAAAGTGGCCCGTGTGGATTGAAGAAATCACTGCTTACCCACAGATTGTCTTGAAAAGTGGCCCGTGTGGATTGAAGAAATCACCGCTCACCCACAGATTGTCATGAAAACTGGCCCATGTGGATTAAAGAAATCACTGCTTACCCACAGATTGTCTTGAAAAGTGGCCCGTGTGGATTGAAGAAATCACTGCTCACCTACAGATTGTCTTGAAAAGTGGCCCGTGTGGATTTCAAAAATCACTGCTTACTCACAGATTGTCTTGAAATGTGGCCCGTATGGATTGCAAAGATCACTGCTTACCCACAGATTGTCTTGAAAAGTGGCCCGTGTGGATTGAAGAAATCACTGCTTACCCACAGATTGTCTTGAAAAGTGGCTCGTGTGGATTGAAGAAATCACTGCTTACCCACAGATTGTCTTGAAAAGTGGCCCGTGTGGATTGAAGAAATCACTGCTTAACCACAGATTGTCTTGAAAAGTGGCCCGTGTGGATTGAATAAATCACTGCTCACAGCTTATGAGAGTAACCCCTGAATATTGAAGTGTAGTCCGTTCTAAATATTGTGACCAAGTTTAAAAATATTTAATTCAGTAACCGTTCGCTGTAAATTGTTTAAATTTAGCATGCGATCTGTTAATAATCATGCAACCTGTTATTAATCATGCAACCTGTTAATAATCATGCAACCTGTTAATAATCATGCAACCTGTTAATAATCATGCAACCTGTTAAAAATCATGCAACCTGTTAATAATCATGCAACCTGTTAAAAATCATGCAACCTGTTAAAAATCATGCAACCTGTTATTAATCATGCAACCTGTTATTAATCATGCAACCTGTTACAAATCATGCAACTTGTTAAAAATCATGCAACCTGTTAAAAATCATGCAACCTGTTAAAAATCATGCAACCTGTTATTAATCATGCAACCTGTTAAAAATCATGCAACCTGTTAATAATCATGCAACCTGTTAATAATTATGCAATCTGTTTATAAGCATGCAACCTGTTAAAAATCATGCAACCTGTTAAAAATCATGCAACCTGTTTATAAGCATGCAACCTGTTAAAAATCATGCAACCTGTTAATAATCATGCAACCTGTTAACAATTATGCAACCTGTTTATAAGCATGCAACCTGTTAATAATCATGCAATCTGTTTATAATCATGCAACCTGTTAAAAATCATGCAACCTGTTAATAATCATGCAACCTGTTAACAATTATGCAACCTGTTTATAAGCATGCAACCTGTTAATGATCATGTCCTTGTAGAAAAACAAATATAATCTAAACAAACATCTTCTTTTGTTTTAGTTTATTTGCGGTATATGAAAATACACTTCAAAGCATGCTCTGTGCATGTTTGCAGTAATTAGAGATTGACGATCTTTTCAAAACATGAAATTGCACATGTTATAGAGGTGATTAGTGGAAAGAAAGAAAAACAGTTAATTGTCATGTGATCATTTTTCTGCATCACCCAGCCATGAATTGGAGGAACACAGTATTTCATTGTGTGTTGGATATGCTACTAAAATGATGGCCATGCATCCTACGTAAAATAATTAATTTCAAAACAATCTTCTCTTTTGTCGTTTCAAGTAAACGGCTTGTGTCAGTTACTGTATATTCTAATTAACGTGTACAGAGATTGACAGTGCTGCAAAGATCAAATGCAGGTACTGCTTTCAGAAAATAGCAGCACCTGTGCAATTGTATATTATAAAATCATTAGCACATGGGAAGTCTAAGACCACATGCAACAATTCGTGTTTATCGGAGTTTTCGATATATTTGTTAGTGTTATAATTTTTTTTGCTATTATTATTATTACGCTGTTAAATTAGACATTTGCACTTGCCACCGTCCCCATCTTCCCTAGACCTTCCTAATCAAATTTGTGAGATTACCATTCCTTTTGCCTGCAATCCCAGTGTGTTATCTGGCCCAGTGTTTACTGTGTCGCTTGTATGCTGACATGTATTATTATAAGTTTGAAGGTACGACTTTTGGGACGGACTTTTTTCACAGCTGACCCTTGATGTTTCATGCATGCTGGTGTCTGGGAATCGGAGTTTTCTGATCTAAATAGCAAACGCTGGGCAGTCTATTGAGAAGTACTTTGGCGTTTGTTTTAGTTCCCCGTGTATGCACATCACTCTGACTGTTAAACCCATTAGGTATGTGTTTTTTCTTCCTCTTCTGCCGTTCTAACCGTCAATGAAAATAAGCCCTCAACCAACTCTTGCCAAGTTGTTATGTCCTTCACTATCACATGCAATTATCTCCATGTCCTCTTTATCTTTTTAACTTCACTCACTCGCTCATATCTCCGTGTGTGTGTGTGTGAGTGTGTGTGTGAGTGTGTGTGTGTGTGTGTGTCTTCGAGTGTGTTTTTTTTTAAATGTCCTAATGTATTTCTATTACATGCCCCTATAGGTTCCATTTCAAAGAATTATAGTTATAATGCTCTCAGGCTTTCTCAACTTGTGCCCTTTTCAAAGCCAGCGTCTTTTCTTCACTTCTTGGTCCACTTGGTCCACAAAGGTGTGTGTTTGTTCTGTGGTAAAATGTCTCACCCTACCAGCTAACGATTACTATGTTTTATTTTTGGGGTACTTAGTACCATGTGATATTTTTTATTTATTACTTGCTAAGTATTGTTTTTCCTCGAACTTAGTATCTGTAATATTGGCTCTCGTCTTGGCATTGCGAATTAACGATGTTGTTGTCTATTGCAGCTAAAGCATGTGTTCCTGTAACTCGAGCAGAGGTGCTGTTTCTTATTGAAGCTTCCGATTTTGTTGGTGCGGCCAACATTGAGCTCAACAAAGACTTTCTCAAACAATCTGTTGCCGCTCTCGACGTCGGACCCCAAGTGATTAATGTGGCTATAGTAGCCTATGGTAGCTCTGCCCAGGTGGTCACCCCCTTGCTGGACAACAGAGATGCCCTAAATACGGTAGTGTCCGGCAGCATGTTGTCCATTCATTCATGATCCTGTTGTGCAATTATATGTCAAGTAGAGATGGGGTCTACTCCTCCATTCTGTTATTTCCTGTTTAATCAGTTCAATATCTTGGATGTAATCCAGTCCAGCAGCTTTGGCCTCTCTCATCAACATTCATCTTAGGGTTTTCTCTAAGCGTCCTAACCTCCTTAATCATTTTATTTCCTATGTTAATACCTGTTTGGTGATTCTCTGCTGGTTAGTATCGCTATAAACTGTAAGTTAGCTGGTATTTTCATAACTAAAACTTGACGATGTCGGTACAATATTGGCTGACACAAGTCAGACACTCGGGTTGCTGTGGAGGGGGGAAGGAGAGCTTGAAATCAAGGGCTACCGCCCTTTTAGATTTTTATTGGGCAGATTAACATCCTTTCTGAACCCCATTTACTTCTGACAGAATTTTCTCTCCCCCCCCCCACCCCCAAAATATAAATCACGCGATATAATACGTGAAAACATTTATGCTTATAAATGAGATAATCGACTACACATTTCGTGGATACATTTTAACCACACAAAAAAAATTAATGGTGCACGAACAATTTGTTGGAAACGTATAATAACTAGCTGCACCCGGCCACGCGTTACTGTTGCCCTGACTTGTGAAATGGAAAGGGGAAAAAAAGGATAAAGCAAACGTGTATAATATGTTTAGTGTTATACTGTCTGTGGGTATACAATACTCCTTGTTGATCCTTTGTGTCGATTTAAATATTGTCTGATTTGCCGCACTTCGATCATATAACATATAACATATAACACATAACTGTCCATGTGAGAAACAATCCGTGTCTTGATGTACACCACACTGTTCTAAAGATTGTTCCTGAGCCTTGTTGGTGATGATTGCAAACGCCAGTCGAACTTACAATTGCAATCTCTTTAACAGACATAGCATATCTGATGAATCATAGGAACGCCGGGAACGAGGAAATCTTTATACTGAAAGGTCCTGTCAAAACTGGAGCTTATACGATGTTGATCAGTAAGTTTTTTACTGCAAGCTGCGTGCCGTTGCAAAGCTTTGGCTGGGTGATATTTCGCAACATGATGATCGGCACGCCGATCTTCAATTGCAGTGTGTGCGGTTATATCCCTGGCAAATAGAATGAATCAAAGATTTCTATTGGATACCTAACTGCCTCATCGGCTTCCACAACAGGTCCACCGATTTGTATATAACTGCTTCGCTTTGAATTTTAGACTGAATCATATTGTTAAGTTTGTAGACATCCTTGTTCCCGGCCTCACAAATAGCTCGCTCACTAAGAGAATCGTTAGACTTATAATTGGTGTGAATATTGGGAAATAATTTGTAAACCAATTCATATTTTGACGTCACTAAATTGAAATTATAAAGCAATGAAATTCGTCCTGGAGTAAGATCAACCAGCATCTTCCAGTTCTCAATGTCCAGCAATTGATGTAAGAATATCTCAGCTGGTGAATCGTTATGCTGTAAGACACTCAAATTTGTAGTTAATTTTAACAGTATACTCAAGAAATGGTCGCTATTGTAAACGACACAGCTGAATTGCAAATATTGTCCGCAAAGCAGTAATGATAGTCCTAACTAATTACTAATCTCTCAGGTTCAGATCGTTAGATGTCAATATATTCAGTCAACAACTCGTCGTGTGCATAACGAACGCAGATCACCCAGGACAGTTCAACTCTGTCGTGATTTCCAATGCAAAATAAAATAAATTCTACCCCCCCCCCCCCCCCCCCAAAAAAAAAAAAAAAACGAAATGCAAAACAATGGGGACAAACAAAATATACTAACCAACTGAAAGCTATGGTACCCGTGCTGTGTGCGACACTCCTATATAACACGAGCGTATTAGAATGCACCGTTGTGTGAACATCTGAAAGCAAGCGGTGAAGAACTTTCGCAGAATAACTAACAAAATTTGTGTCATTATTATAGATAAAACAGATACTAAATGATGCGTCATGACTTACTATGGGAGGACTCGGTTAGTAAGTTATTGGTTAGTTACTTGACAAAGAATCCCTATTGCACATCGGACAAGTCCCATCTTCAGTATATCCCTCAGCGTAATGCGACAGATAACCCAAATTCTGCTTCAGTATATCCCTCAGCGTAATGCGACAGATAACCCAAATTCTGCTTCAGTATATCCCTCAGCGTAATGCGACAGATAACCCAAATTCTGCTTCAGTATATCCCTCAGCGTAATGCGACAGATAACCCAAATTCTGCTTCAGTTTATCCCTCAGCGTAATGCGACAGATAACTTAAATTCTGCTTCAGTATATCCCTCAGCGTAATGCGACTGATAACCCCAATTCTGTCTCTTTTTTACTATTTCCTTTGGCTGCCTGTATAGTGTTCATGTTTGGCGACACTTTTTTTTTGGCCCGAAGTTGTTCTAGTCTTTTCTCGATTCAACGTCGTCTCCTGAATCACCTTCTGGTCCTGCCTTCTTGAGAGCATTGACAATACCGGCTCGGTCCATTGATTGTACTGTACCTACACTGACCCAGCCACCAAGCCAATCCGCTCGTTCATTCCCTTACCCCTGAGGAAGATGTATTGAACTCTACTACGTGCAGCTGAAGCCCTCTGAGGAAAACGTATTGAACTCTACTACGTGCAGGTGAAGCCCTCTGAGGAAAATGTATTGAACTCTACTAGGTGCAGGGAAAGCCCCAGTCTTGTCTTTTCTCCTCTTGGTTCAGTGTTTTCTTCCAAAGCTTTACATTATTGATTCTATCCTCCATTTAATTCCCTCTATTGTGCGCAGGAGCAAGTTAATGAATGTTTGTAGTTTATTATTAATTGCATTAGTTGTTCTCCGTTTTTCTGCTCCATACAACAGTACTAAATTGACATCAGAATTATTCATGTTAATTTAGGTATTAGTTTTAAATTCTTGTTACTACCACACATTTCCTAGTGCTGTGAAAGCCCCGCCTGCCTTTTGTATTCGTATTTTATTATCTCTACAATTTTCCACTTTTTATCTACATTACTGCCCAAACATGTATATGACTCAACGTCTTGGGTTAAATATTCATTAAAACAAACTACATTACACTTTGCCGGATCTGTACTCATTATCCTTGTCTTTACCTCAAAGATTTTCAAACCTTGCTGTTGTGATCTCGCATCAGGCATATTTATCTTGCATCCGATTTTGTGAGTGGGGCAGAAGAAAAGTATCACCAGCAACTGGGACACTATTTAAACAACACTTAAATGGAAGTAAGCTCTCAATTGATCGACCGGTTTGTCCCGAATACTACACAAAGTTTACCACCCTAGGATAAACACACACACACACACACACACACGCACGCACGCACACACACACACACACACACATTTAGCCTGGGTGGCGAACCAGCAGGGCAAATTCCAGATACCCATTGATCGAAACTGAAAAACAACTTGTCTAGTCATGTTGGTTACCTTCAGACTAACGTTTTTCTTGTTTTATGCTGACACGATGACGATGCGTTGACAATGGCTGTCTTGTACAGTCTTCCAATGATCCCACAGAAACAATAAACACCTACAGCATTCAATTGCAGAACACCGAGGCGGATGTCGCAACCGTCCTTAACACGGCAAATACGAAGCGTGCGCAGACAAGACTCAAAACAACAGCAATAATAATCACTACTACATAGAAACAGTTTGATGAAGGGAGGTGCACACAGATTTAACAAACGGAAAAACAATAACACTGTTTCTATCGACGTCTTTATCAACAAACCAAATATTTTAACAACAGACAAACTGGAGTAGCAGTAGAGAGGACTAGAACACAATCAAATAAATTGCAAGCTGTGATGCTTCAAGCGGTCTCATTACAAGATGCATTAAGGCATTGTTGGATGCGACAGTATAACTGTTTTTTAATTTGATGTTAGTTGTTTTCTGGGTATGCCAATATTTAACTGACCAAACCAAAGGCAATCTTGGGGTTTTCGGGACAGTCCAAACGCATCACGTTACATCAAAAAGGCGTCTTTCGAATTTATATCGTTTAAAAATGTATATATACTTTCTGCGTCTCTTACTGTACCTATAACCATAAACCCTAACTTTAAACCCCAACCATAAACCCTAACGCTAACCATAAACCTAACACATGCTAAATATAGTTACCCTAGTTATAGCTACCTATATATGTTTGGGGTAAATTAAAATTTAAGTACCGTTTTCTGTGCTTAAGATGTCTAGTCAAGTTAATATGTTGAACAATATAACATCTACAGGCGATAGACAGCATAAGTGTGGTTGGTGGGGATGCTGATTTGGCAGCTGGACTTGACCAAGCCACTAGTACTCTTTTTGACAGCGTTAGAAATAACGCTCAGCCATTTATATACCTGGTTGCTTCCAGTCAATCGACGAACAGCGCTCAAGGTAAGTCAGATCATTCCGTAATTGTCTGCAACGTCCTTTATCTTATCTGCTGCACCTTTGTAAGACACTAGTTATCTTACTCAGGGGATGGTTCGACCTCTGCAGTCGATATCAATAGAAGAGTTCAGAAAGCAACGCACCACATAGTTTTTCTCAGCTAATAATAAAGGTAAAGGCATGAAGTTGTGCACTTCAAGAATGGCAACATCGTTTTGAATATGTGGCAAAGAGATAGTCAATAGAGTGTATCATTCGCAGTCACCAGGAAGATAGATATTAAAGATAACGCCTTCAGCTCGAAAGGAATGGAATTGTGCACACTTCAAATATGTGCACATCGTTTTGAACGTGAGACAAAAATACAGTCAGTGGAGGGGCATCATCCGCAATCACCAGGAAGAGTACAGTTCAAGACAACTCCTTCAGCTGACAAGGTCATGATCACTGTCTTTTGGGAATGGAAGGTGGGAGTCTTGAGGATGTTACGCCAACAGGAGACGTCATCAGTTTGGCTAGCTCACATGAATCAGAGTTCGACCTCAGAAAAATCCAGCAAATTTTCCATCTCCTTGAGGACAATGAGGAAGCTTACACATGTTTCCCCCAAGAGCTAGACAGCAGCGTGTCCCTTTTACTTCCAAAAGGGAAAGCTGATGACAATGAGAATGATGATAATGATGACGATGATAATGAAGATGATGATGATCATGACAATGCTAATATCAGTGATGATGATGATGATGTTTACCAAGGTTGTAGAAAGACTTTTTTTTCTAATTATAGGAACTATTCAAAATAATATTTTTGCTACCATTGTATTAATTAATAGTGTGAAAGGGGAAAATCGGCAACAGCAACGACAACAACAACAATAACAACAACAAAGAAACACTGGAACAACAGAAACAAACGTCTACAATGAATCTTAAATGTAACTAGAAGAGACAGGATAAGAAATGACTATATCAGGAAAGACGTTTCAGATGAACCAGTAGTAAACTATATCAACAGACAACAGATCAAATGGTTCGGACATGAGTGAAGACTACACCAGATAGTACACCACAGAGAGTCCCGTTATTTAGACATGATGGAAATGGATCACGCGGTCACCCATACTAACTATGGATACATGAAATTACCTTTACCTATACATGAAACATCCAGGCCGAAACAGCAGCATCTGCGTGGCACATACTAATGATTGCCTCTTCAAAACCTGACGCTGACAGAGAGAACAAGATTTGAGAAGAAAAAGACAAAGAAGGTGCTGGAACGCATCACTAACTACATCTAAACCTAAACACCCCCCCCCCCACCCCCACCTTCCCCCAAAGGTTCATATGTCTCGTACAGCAAAGCTGCCTATGGTTACTTTCACTAACTACCTCTAAACCTAAACACCCCCCCCCCACCCCGCCTTCCCCCAAAGGTTCATATGTCTCGTACAGCAAAGCTGCCTATGGTTACTTTCACTAACTACATCTAAACCTAAACACCCCCCCCCCCCCCCACCGCCTTCCCCCAAAGGTTCATATGTCTCGTACAGCAAGGCTGCCTATGGTTACTTTCACTAACTACCTCTAAACCTAAACAAACCCCCCCCCCCCCCCACCTTCCCCCAAAGGTTCATATGTCTCGTACAGCAAAGCTGCCTATGGTTACTTTCACTAACTACCTCTAAACCTAAACACCCCCCCCCCCCACCGCCTTCCCCCAAAGGTTCATATGTCTCGTACAGCAAGGCTGCCTATGGTTACTTTCACTAACTACCTCTAAACCTAAAACCCCCCCCCCCCACCGCCTTCCCCCAAAGGTTCATATGTCTCGTACAGCAAAGCTGCCTATGGGTTACTTTCACTAACTACCTCTAAACCTAAACACCCCCCCCCCCCCCGCCTTCCCCCAAAGGTTCATATGTCTCGTACAGCAAGGCTGCCTATGGTTACTTTCACTAACTACCTCTAAACCTAAACACCCCCCCCCCCCAACCGCCTTCCCCCAAAGGTTCATATGTCTCGTACAGCAAGGCGTGGTTACTTTCACTAACTACCATCTTCACTGAAAATGTTTCTCTCCTATTCCCACTGACACTGATATTCATATTTTTTCAGCAATAACGAGTGCTGACGCTGCTAAATCCTTCGGGATCATCATTGTGGCCCAAGCAGTTGGGAGTGGAGCTCTCCAGGACTCACAGAGCGTCTCCAGCAGTGACCGCCAGGTGGCGCAGGTCGAAAATTACAGCCAGCTGCCCCAGACGGGTAGTTCTGTCTCAGATAGGATCTGTATAGGTAAGACCTATCATTCGTGCAGTGATTACATCATTGAAAGACAGCAAACGTCAAGTTGAACTAATCAGCTTGCTTCACACTATCACGATCAGAAACCACAGGTGAACGTTGCGATATCAGAAAGCTGAATACCTAGCAGCGCATGAATGGGCAGTGTTACATTGACACCCACAAAGTATTCGGAAGAAAAATCCCATGTATTTCTGGCCACTGAAGCTCTGAGACACGACAATGAATAATAGCTAAAAAAAAACAAAAACATTGAAGGCAAGGACCCGTAGTGAAAAAAAATGTTAGATAAATCTATGTGGGACGTTCAGTCAAGGGAAAAGATCCGGGTTTCCCAGGCAGTTAGCACTTCTGGATTATAGTGTAATTGGCGCCAATCTACCAGATATCACTTCTGTGTTATAGTGTAATGGGCGCCAATCAACCAGTTAGCACTTCTGGATTATAGTGTAATTGGCGCCAATCTACCAGATAGCACTTCTGTGTTGTAGTGTAATGGGCGCCAATCAACCACTTAGCACTTCTGTGTTATAGTGTAATGGGCGCCAATCAACCACTTAGCACTTCTGTGTTATAGTGTAATGGGCGCCAATCAACCAGTTAGTACTTCTCTGTTATAGTGTAATTGGTTCCAATCAACCAGTTCGCACTTCTGTGTTATAGTGTAATGGGCGCCAATCAACCACTTAGCACTTCTGTGTTATAGTGAAATGGGCGCAAATCTACCACTTAGCACTTCTGTGTTATAGTGTAATGGGCGCCAGTCTACCACTTAGCACTTCTGTGTTATAGTGTAATGGGCGCCAATCAACTACTTAGCACTTCTGTGTTATAGTGAAATGGGCGCAAATCTACCACTTAGCACTTCTGTGTTATAGTGTAATGGGCGCCAGTCTACTACTTAGCGCTTCAGTGTTATAGTGTAATTGGCGCAAATCTGCCACTTAGCGCTTCTGTGTTATAGTGTAATGGGCGCCAGTCTACTACTTAGCGCTTCAGTGTTATAGTGTAATTGGCGCAAATCTGCCACTTAGCGCTTCTGTGTTATAGTGAAATGGGCGCAAATCTACCACTTAGCACTTCTGTGTTATAGTGTAATGGGCGCCAGTCTACTACTTAGCGCTTCTGTGTTATAGTGTAATTGGCGCCAATCTACCTCTTAGCATTTCTGTGTTGTAGTGTAATTGGCGCCAATCTACCTCTTAGCACTTCTGTGTTGTAGTGTATAGAGCGCCAATCAATCAGGCTACTTTTTTATTGTGTCTGCTTATCTAAATATCTGCGGATGATACCTAGAAAGGTACTAACAGACAGACAGACAGATATTGTCTGAGTCTCCTCAAGCGTCCACTAGGTATTTCTGAAATACGAGATTTCAAGATGTTTATGTCACAGACATGTCATCACATGATTGCTTTGATTACTGTAGAAAGAAAAATAAACAGTTTTTTTGGAGTGTAAATGTAGAAACTAACACAGGGTTATGCCTCTTTCATTTATATTTGGTTTATCAAATACAGAAGACCGAATTGATATATTGTGAATACCTTATTGTTATGTTTCTTTGCGAAATGAAACTGTTTAATTTCACTTTGTTATTTCTTCTCCTTCTTCTTCTGTCCAAGCTTTGGGGCTTTATTAGCCATGTTTATCCACAACCTTCTGTCTCGTGTACTTTCAGTCAGTTCTGACACAGATGATCTTCCATGCCATGGTGTCATACTGTCCAGCATGTACTCTCTCGCCCCCTTCAACTTTTCCACCGTCACGACGTATTCCGTTGTTCTCTCTCGCCCCCTTCAACTTTTCCACCGTCACGACGTATTCCGTTTTTCTCTCTCTTGTTACTTGATCAAAGAATGGAAATTGTCTCCCTCCAGGAAGGGCAATCAGTTCTCTCATGGAATCAGTTTCTTCCATTACTCTTGTTATGTGTCTGGCCTGTTCTTATTATTCATTTTCAAAACCACATCTCTGCCACTTCCACGTCCCTTTGTCACCAAACAGTCAACTGTCCATGATCCACTTCCACGTCCTTTGTCACTAAACAGTCAACTGTCCATGATCCACTTCCACGTCCTTTGTCACTAAACAGTCAACTGTCCATGATTCACTTCCACGTCCTTTGTCACTAAACAGTTAACTGTTCATGATTCACTTCCACGTCCCTTTGTCACTAAACAGTCAACTGTCCATGATTCACTTCCATGTCCCTTTGTCACTAAACAGTCAACTGTCCATGATTCACTTCCATGTCCCTTTGTCACTAAACAGTCAACTGTCCATGATTCACTTCCATGTCCCTTTGTCACTAAACAGTCAACTGTCCATGATTCACTTCCACGTCCCTTTGTCACTAAACAGTCAACTGTCCATGATTCACTTCCACGTCCCTTTGTCACTAAACAGTCAACTGTCCATGATTCACTTCCACGTCCCTTTGTCACTAAACAGTCAACTGTCCATGATTCACTTCCACGTCCCTTTGTCACTAAACAGTCAACTGTCCATGATTCACTTCCACGTCCCTTTGTCACTAAACAGTCAACTGTCCATGATTCACTTCCACGTCCCTTTGTCACTAAACAGTCAACTGTCCATGATTCACTTCCACGTCCCTTTGTCACTAAACAGTCAACTGTCCATGATTCACTTCCACGTCCCTTTGTCACTAAACAGTCAACTGTCCATGATTCACTTCCACGTCCCTTTGTCACTAAACAGTCAACTGTCCATGATTCACTTCCACGTCCCTTTGTCACTAAACAGTCAACTGTCCATGATTCACTTCCACGTCCTTTGTCACTAAACAGTCAACTGTCCATGATTCACTTCCACGTCCCTTTGTCACTAAACAGTCAACTGTCCATGATTCACTTCCACGTCCTTTGTCACTAAACAGTCAACTGTCCATGATTCACTTCCACGTCCTTTGTCACTAAACAGTCAACTGTCCATGATTCACTTCCACGTCCCTTTGTCACTAAACAGTCAACTGTCCATGATTCACTTCCACGTCCTTTGTCACTAAACAGTCAACTGTCCATGATTCACTTCCACGTCCCTTTGTCACTAAACAGTCAACTGTCCATGATTCACTTCCACGTCCCTTTGTCACTAAACAGTCAACTGTCCATGATTCACTTCCACGTCCCTTTGTCACTAAACAGTCAACTGTCCATGATTCACTTCCACGTCCCTTTGTCACTAAACAGTCAACTGTCCATGATTCACTTCCACGTCCCTTTGTCACTAAACAGTCAACTGTTCATGATTCACTTCCATGTCCCTTTGTCACTAAACAGTCAACTGTCCATGATTCACTTCCGTAAATCAGGATAACATTTTAGTGCTACTTAGGATTTTATGTCTCATCTCAATTGACAGTTGCGTACACAATTCTTCATTTTCTGATCACTATGCAATTGTAAGTTCATTATGTGACATCTTATGGATGCAGATTGTATTTTCTTGATACTGATATGTGTATGTTTCCCTTCAGATTGTTTATTCAGTTGTAGGGTATTCTAGAGTTGTCCGGGGTGTAGTTACCTTCTGCAAACTAGTGTCTTCAAGTCATTATCCTCCGCCTCAGAACAGGACACAACCGATTACGTAACCACATGTACACACAATTCAAGATAAACGTATCAGCCACATGCACATGCGGAAAGGTGCCCTAGACAGCAGAGCATGTGCTCTATGACTGCATATAATATGACAAATTAGGGAAAACCTTTTGGCCAGAAAGAACAACAGTGGAACGTAAACTGTTTGGACATCTGAATAAGCTAACAACGACAGTGAAATTTATACAAGATACAAAACTGCTGATTTAGACAACTTTTTTTCAGGCAAATGAAAGAAGAAGAGGAAGAAGAAGTTGTAGGGTATTCTATGGTTGTCTGGGGTGTAGTTACCTCCTGCAAACTAGTGTCATCTTCTAGCTTGGGTTGTTCCAGTTCATGTACGTGAAAGAGACACTTCAGATGCCTGCGGGTTCTGGTTTCAATGATTACTTATCCCGCTGTGGGCTCAAACACATCACCTCCGAGACGGCAGGCACATTACATGATGAGATTTGTTTTGAAAATAGAACCACTTTCAGAAGGCAAAGTGGCAAGATGGTGACAGCCTCCCTCTAGGGTGCCAGCAGAGATGTTGACAGTTTCAAAATAATAATCACAATATAACCTGCCCCCCCCCCACCCCCACACCCCCGCTTTCTCCATATAGAAGGGGCTGAGACATCTACAACCTCTTCACCCTCCTTCATCTCCGTCCTATAAATTTCTTAAGTGGTAGGGTGGTCCTCTCCCCTTTGAAGTATTCATTCACACTTTTTATATAGAATGTTCAAATAAATATTTTTTTCTATTCAGCCTATTATTATTGATGCGCACTTGAACAAGCAGCTACTTTTGCTTTTGATGTTTATGAAGGATTCCAGAATAGACACGAGACGGTTAAGGCAGCACTTGGTCTTAAGAGTGCCTTCAATGAAGTTAGATAATGATATTTTGATACCTACGCTCATAAAGAAAAGCGATTTTCCTTGGCTTGTGAACTAGATAGCAGCTGTCATGCATTCAGGTATGGTTGCCTTTCGCCTGGGTACACGAACCTCAGAACCATGTAATATGACCCCGGGACTGCCCCGGGGTTCCGCAAATTTATTGGTGTTTTTCAATGTGTATGCAAGCACGGCATGTAGGTGGAGAAATATTTACATTTGCCGATGATGTTCTTGCATATAAGCAAGGGGGTGATAAGCAACGCGTAGCCCAAGAGTTACAGGCAACTATAGACAAAGTGAGGGACTGGTCTGCAGAAATGGGAGTTATCAACTCAGAAAAAGCGGCTGTTTTATGGTGATCTCTGTACAATCGATGCCCAAGCCTCAAACTCAATAACAGTAAAATCAAAAGAGAAAGCAAAATGAGGTATATGGGCTTGGAATGCTGACTGTATCAAAGAGTCAGCTGATACAACTTGAACCCATACAGAATGAAGCCATGTGGGTAATTCTGGGATGTACAAGAGATACCCTGGTAGTATGTATGTGATAGATACTTGCACTGCCTACTATTGCAGATAGGCTTAATGTTCTGCAATCAAAGTCACATTTCAGAGTAGTTGCAGACAAGAAGCACCTCATGCATGAAGTCCTGGGTAGATCTGAGGGTCACAGACTGAAAAGATGAAGGTCTTGGATGGCACAAGCTGACGACACAATCAGACATTTGAATATTTTCTGCAGTTATGCCCGTGTTTTAGGAAATGAGCAGACAGACAGACTGCCCGATTCTTTACCATTGGTGCAGAACTGATTTATGACAGGCTTGATGTTGTGAGGGCCCTATGGGGGGGGGGGGGGGTGAGCAGTGCGGAGGAAACGATGGATCTTAACCGTCTGGGGAGAATGGCGTTGCGAAAAGTTACCAAGGAATCGGGCCGACGCTCAACACTTAAGGAAAGGCGATACAGATATACAATCAGGCAGCTACTGGTACCATCAAAACTGGCACTCTTCGCTTGCTGCTGAAGATAGGAACGGAGCGCTTATGGGAGTGTCCCAGGTGATATGATGTTAATTCCTAACTCAGCATTCAACCTACTAAACAAGGCTAAATATTTATGTGGGCAGCAGCCCCTGAAAATTATGAGGTTGAGAACGGGAAGCTCAGTGTTTGCTTACACTGCCCTTGTTGGCACATTTGTTGGCACATTTGTTTGCTTACACTGCGCGTGATGGCACATTTGTTGGCACATTTGTTTGCTCACACTGCGCGTGTTGGCACATTTGTTTGCTTACAGTGCGCGTATTGGCACATTTGTTGGCACATTTGTTGGCACATTTGTGTGCTTACACTGCGCGTGTTGGATCATTTGCAATTATTTCGTTTCTTGTATTTTAAAGTGACAGTATTACTTTTTTTTTGTTTTCCCCAGTGCAAAACTAAGGAAGGAAAAATTAACAGAAAAAGACACAACAAAGAATATGATATAATAATAACGTAACATTAATCGTCACATACGGAGTTCAGGCAGAATACCTTAAAAAAATTAAATATCTATGAGCTATTGATGTTGTTAAATGTTGCTCATGATGCTGTTGCATGTTCATGTTACAAATCGGCTACATTATATTGATAATGAAGATAGCAGTGAGTAAGTTGTGTGTTGCAAGTGTTGTTGTCAGTAAACGATGCCGTGTATTCTGTTCTGTTTCTTCTGAAAGTCGATACCCTGTGATGTTGGTAACCGCGTGTCTACATAGTTAACTGCCAGGTATTCATTAGAAATAGACTCGAACCCAAGACCTTCCGATCCGCAACAGAGCACCTAGCCGCTACATCACGGCGGCTAATCCCATCACCTTATAAGACATTTAAAGAAATGTAGGAGAATGCATACAAATGAGTCAGATCTGTAAAACAGAATCACGGGCAACACTCAGGTTCTGGAAAAGTACTGCACTCCAGAAATGGACGAACAGCCAGCATTTTCTGCCAGAGTTTACAGCCGGTGAACGCGAAGAAGAACAAAAAGAAGAAAAAGCGGTCTCACGCTAGTTTCCGACATTTCTTCGTACGCACGATAGGCTATTAAAATAATCAGGGCTCATCGCTGCACATCTGAAGTGCTTTCTACATGTGTCAGAGTTTCCGTAAATTCTATTTTTTTTAAGGAGCACATAACATTATTAGTCAAACAAAGATCACAGGATTTCACCTCTTTAAGAAAACAGCAGCACCTGTGCAATTGTGAATCATAACATAATAAAAAGATAACGCCACATGAAAAAAAAAAATCTTTTTAATCCGTACAGGAGTTTTCCAGATATTTGCTGAAACCTGAGGTTACGACTTTTGAAAGGCACTGTACCAAATATTTCTAAACCTCGAAGAACGCACCCTACCGCACATTTTGACCAACAGTAAAACATCGCGGAGATAAACCACGGCGGTCGTTGTCCACAAGCAAACTCGTTTTACGACGTAGCCACTGAAGTTGCGGGGGATGCAAGCGTAGATACATTTTAAAATCATTCAATTCCAACAGACAACACTGTTAACTCTTTAACTACCAGCAATTCACCATACTTTTGTCAGCTTCTGCGGACCTCTGTGGCTTTCCTCAACTCCCCCGCCCCCTCCACACCCACCCCGCCCCCCCCCCCCTTTCGTCCCCAATATCCCGGTGCCAGACACTGCACAAATCGTCTATTCAAGTCTGTCTCCCTCGCAATGGTATAACTGTCCCTATGTCAGCCAAACACATGCATTAGTCAAAGTATATAAGAAATAAGATATAATGCATTGGTGTGAAGCTAGCATGGGACTGACAAAATTAAATCACGAAGCGTCCACACCCGACCCTCTTGCTACTAGCGAAACAGCACAGGACACACTACCAGCACCATAGCACTTTGGAAATGCCTAAAATCGTCGCGAGCAACACAGGGAACACCTCAAGGACTCTCTATGTTGATCCTTATTCAGCATCTAGCCCATTCTCTGACACACTTAATATGTAATAAATCATTTTGCTAGATCTTAGACAATTACACCTGTAAAAAACTATAACCATCCGATCAGTAGCTTGTGGACCACTGAAGCAGTTGTAGATAGTGAACAGTTAACCCCATTCTCACAATCACAACCAACTAAGATTACATCAGTTATTCAGCTCTACTACTGGCGGTGTAGCACACGCATAAGATCACAGTCATCCAAACAGGCCTTCACAGACCCACAGTCATCCAAACAGGCCCTCACAGACCCACAGTCATCCAAACAGGCCCTCACAGACTCACAGTCATCCAAACAGGCCCTCACAGACTCACAGTCATCCAAACCACAGACTCACAGTCATCCAAACAGGCCCTAGATTTCAAATCTACTGACAGTACCCTACAGAACGTGTACAGAAAGTAATTAGCTGAGCTGTCAAAGATTGAAGTAATTAATCTACAGTCCATTACATCCCACTATGGAATCGATAACAATGAAAGCTAAGATGCCTTAGACAGGGAAGGAGCGCCCACAACAAATATACCCGTCTTTGTCTTTTCTAGAAGGGAAAATCTCATTAAGAGAAAACAAGTAACATATAACATACTAGAAAACGGGAATCGCCGTGGCGGAGCAGCAGAAGATGGTCGTGGGTTCGCTCCGTGGCGAAGCCGGACTTTTTTCAAAAATGACCTTGGTTCCCAGGTCGACCCTGCCTTGGGTGGGCACCGGATGCAGCCCCGGGAAGTAAAAGTGGAAGCGTTATGATGACTACATCACCCATCTTGTGCCGATTGGTCTCTAAAATATAGGTCTAGCCCTAGAAGCTTAAAGGCGGGGAAAAGGGTCCTTTACTTTTTCTAAAATACTGGAAAACAAACACTAGGTATTTATGATTTGCCTAAACATCTAAAGAGAACTGACCAAGTAATCAACTTTCGCCTACGCCCTGGACATTAGAGACTCAACAAACACATATCATTTAGGTATAAAACAAGCAGCTCTCTGCATGGGTCTTCGACCTGAGTAGACCTCATAGCATGTCTTGCAAGTCTGTCCTTTCATGGAGGAGCAGCGAAGCAACATGTGGCCAAATCCAGTAGACCTGACAACTGAGCTTTGTGGAAACTGAAGGACCTTGAGATAACATCTCAGTTTATGGCCCAGTGTCAATTAAGGGCGTGGCCAAAGATCACCACAGAAAAAGAGGAGTAAGATCATGCACACTTACCTTGCCTAAGAAGCTTCAGTGTTCCACTTTATCTCTCGGTGACATAGACTGACCAACAGATGCTCCAGAACCATACAGTAGGCGGAAAACATGCATGAACTCCTCAGTCTGGATAGTGCCCAATGTGGCATGTGTGGATTCTTCCCATTTTTAGTGTTCACAAACAGTTGTGAGAAGTTTGGTGTTCACATAAAGCTTTGACATGTGTGGTTTCACATGTGTCGTGTTCACATTCAGTTTTAACATGAGGGGTTTCATCTGTGTGGTATTGCCATACAGTTATGATATACGTGGTTTCGTATGTGTTAATGTTAACATATAGCTGTGGTAAAAAACGGTCCCGGATACTGTGGTAATGTATATAGCTGGCAACCCCAGCGATACGATCCTGTGCAGTCACTGATCCCATGGGCAGGATACCTCGCCGCCATGCCAGACTATTTAGTCCTTAAAAAAAAATATTTAATTGTGAGATACAGAAAGGTAGAAGCTCTCGTGGGGACCAGGATCCTCCCAGAAAAAGCTTCAAGAAAAAGCTAAAGGAACCACTTAACGTCTTTAATATAAACCCTGGCATTTGGGAGACAGCTGCACAAAACGAACATGTATTCGAAGAGGCGCGGCGACTTGTGAGGCATCTAGCAAAAGGGGAGACATGCTAGAAAGATCCGCGAAGCAGGCACTGGACCTACAGATACTGTTCCCTGCCCACATTTTCCGAGAATCTTCCGGCACGTATTGGTTGTACATGAGTTCCCTCCGGTATCACAGTTTAACTTTAGTTTTATGACCGATGACAGCAAGACTGTTCCTCAACACTTGTGATGGGTGAACAGCAGCAAGGCTACTGATGATGAGCTGGGCACAATGTGCTGTACTGTATTCCTTCCACAATATTGAAACTGCAAACAATAGAACGTGGTAGAAGAATATACTGTGAGTTCAAGGAGCCTTATAAAGGCACTTTGTGAGAATGAGGATGACACCAACAGCCATTTAGAGCCATATTAAGGCACTTTGTGAGAATGAGGATGACACCAACAACCATTTAGAGCCATACAAAGGCACTTTGTGAGAAAGAGGATGACACCAACAACCATTTAAAGCCATAAAAAGGCACTTGTGAGAATGAGGATGGCACCAACAACCATTTAAAGCCATAAAAAGGCACTTTGTGAGAATGAGGATGACACCAACAACCATTTAAAGCCATAAAAAGGTACTTTGTGAGAATGAGGATGACACCAACAACCATTTAAAGCCATATAAAGGCACTTTTGAGAATGAGGATGACACCAACAACCATTTAGAGCCATACAAAGGCACTTTGTGAGAAAGAGGATGACACCAACAACCATTTAGAGCCATACAAAGGCACTTTGTGAGAAAGAGGATGACACCAACAACCATTTAAAGCCATAAAAAGGCACTTGTGAGAATGAGGATGACACCAACAACCATTTAAAGCCATATAAAGGCACTTTTGAGAATGAGGATGACACCAACAACCATTTAAAGCCATAAAAAGGCACTTGTGAGAATGAGGATGACACCAACAACCATTAAAGCCATAAAAAGGCACTTTGTGAGAATGAGGATGACACCAACAACCATTAAAGCCATAAAAAGGCACTTTGTGAGAATGAGGATGACACCAACAACCATTTAAAGCCATAAAAAGGCACTTTGTGAGAATGAGGATGACACCAACAACAATTTAGAGCCATATAAAGGCACTTTTGAGAATGAGGATGACACCAACAACCATTTAGAGCCATTTTAAGGCACTTTGTGAGAATGAGGATGACACCAACAACCATTTAGAGCCATATAAAGGCACTGTGAGAATGAGGATGACACCAACAACCATATAGAGCCATATAAAGGCGCTTTTTTAAGAATAAGGATGACACCAACAACTTTTTAGAGCCATATAAAGGTGCTTTGTGAGAATGGGGATGACACCAACAACCATTTAGAGCCACATAAAGGCACTGTGAGAATGAGGATGACACCAAGAAGATCTGAATTTTACAATTCGTCTTTTTATTCTTAATCGACTCTTGGACGGCCCTGCGGCGTCAGGGCAGGAAAAAATCCCTGCAAAAAGCCTTTCTGGACTCTTCGTTTCAAGTCCTTTTTAGAGTCCCTAATATTTTTGCGGCCCATTATTATCCTCTTCATTCCTGTCGGTTCGCGAGATCTCCTCACTTGT